CATTATACTCCTGCTTATTTTTAAGCTATTCTTAGGTTTCATTAGCTACTGTCCCCCCCACCACCCAGAGCAGGAAGCAAGTACAATGAAAGAAACCTTATTTTTTGAGTTGTTTTCTGTGGGACTTTGGGGTTGGAGGAGAAATCATAACTTTTCCAGTATTTCCACACATCAGAAATCAGTACTTTCACTTGTGGCTTTGTCTGGTCTTCCACTGTAATGGGAGCCCTAGGCACACACCTGATCTGCAGAGAAAGTTTGACCCCTGGGTGAGGATCACATTCAAACAGGTGTCACTTTAACTAAAGGCCAGTTGCATTTATTCTTCTCTCAAGACATTCAGAAGGTGTTCAGGAACCCCTGAAATTTGGAGCCACTGCTATTGATGGCGGACAAATTCCAGAAATCTTGTCAAGTGTGTGCCTGGGCTTGGGATGGGAGGTGAGCTTTAAAACTTACCTAGGATTTTCTCCAAATGAAACATCTTGTAGATTCCTGCATCTAAATGTTGCATCAGGAGTGGTTAGGTCAGAAAGAAACCAGCAGTTTCTTTCTATAAAGTCCCTGAATGCCCTTAGCATTTTGTAATGGCTTTCCTTGAAATCCATGAAGCTGTGTAAATTAATTTGACTCTTGGTTTAAAAAACAAATCACATCTTTTGTTGCATCCTATTTTTCTACATATTTGACTTTTTTTATACCCACCTCTGTTCCGTCTTTGTTTACTTATATTATTGTGGACCTACTACATCTTTAATCTCCTTTTTAATTGTGCAATATAAATAGATCAAACAAAGTTGACTCTTGATTTATGAAAGTTCACAATTTTCAAATGGAAAGTTTTTTCCCCCGTGTGCGATTTTAGTGGAATAAAGAAGTGATTGGAGCCAAGGGGTTACTGATCATCTCTGAATTAACAGTCCTGATTTTCACAGTGGAAATAATTTTGATTTCGAGTAAGGGTCTAGCACATTCAGGGAAATGAGTCGATGACCCAAAGCTCCTTTTATTGCTCAATGTGTTTCCTAAATTCCCAAGAGTAGCAGGGTGAAATGCTTTGAAGTAGCACATAGACATTCACTGAAACGCCTTTAACACTAAATGCCTTGATGGAATGTTCAGACTCTCAGCAGATTAATAATTCAACTCTGGAATCCTGGCACAGACCTCTCATACCAGCAAACTGGCTTCACAGAAACTTTGGTGGGACATTAATGGAATTCTAAGGTACTCTCCTGATGACACAAGTGAACATACTTAAGTCAAGTCTCATACTCAGAACTAACACGCTTAGTTGTGAGGCAGAGGATGCACCTTTATATGATCATCAGGAAGAATGTCTTCTGGTTTCACTTAGAGCAATGCTTGACATCAAAGAAGCACTTCTCCATTTGATATATTTATAACACTAAAAATGCAAATACAAAACTCTATCAGTGCAAAATGTGAAAAGACACAGCAGACACTCAAATATATCTACAAGGAAACCAGAACAACTTTATAAATATCTTGTTTTTCAAATCCCCTGCTTTCTCTGGGTAGGCAGCAGCCTCCAGTTGGTTGTGTGCCTAGTTTCAATAGTGTGCTTCCTTGTTCTTTTTGTATTTAAGTCTCAGGCTGTTGTCTCTGTAGTTTTTTTTTAGAAGATTCCCTTCAAATTCCTAGCCAGAACTCTGGAACAAATGAAGAAACTGACCTCAGCTGCCCCCATCTCATTTTATAAGATGTGTAGTTCGTGCTAGGTCAAGAGTCTAGCTGTTTATTTGGAGATCCCGTTCAGGATAAGCATGTTCAATAATTATTTAATGCTGAGCCTTAGTGTATTAATTCAAACAACAAGAATCAGTATCGTGCCTTGGAGATAACAATCCCTTAAGTGTACTAAACTGCAGAGAACTTTATGCAATTCTCTCTTCCAGTTCTGGGGTTTGCTGGTTTGAACCTGGGGGGAAGGTGGAAGGAACTTGGAGCAACTTCTGGCTGCTCCACATTGCCCCAGATTCTAATGGTCCCTTTGGGGGATTGGAACACAGTGCACTTTGAACATATCCTGACACAAACTCTACCCCAAGGCATACGGTCAGCTGTGCCACACTAAAATGATGCTAATTCACTTGCATCTGGAGTCAGTACAGATGATGCTGGGAAAAATAACTAATTACACTTCTCTGTGGATTCTTTCAGCAGGGCAGGTGGTGTTATGCTACAGATCCCCCAAGTTTTCCAGGGGGCCAGTTTAGTTTTCTGCCAAGAACATCTGTTTAGAACATGAACTATCTGGCCAGGTACCCTCCTCAGCTTGCACCATTCACTCTTTGAGCAGACTGGAAGAGCTTTGGTGGAGGAGAGGCTACAGACCCTTTGTTCAACTGCAGCTACCCATCTGGTGGGCTTTCCAGGGCCTTGTGCCTGTTGCCATCATAAAATGGAATTTAGCCCAGTCAGTGTAAAATATAATAGGGAATCTCTTCAAGTATACAACCAAAGGAGAAAACTAGGGCCAGAAATAAGACTATTTACAAACAGGAGCACAATTATGGTACCTCTTCACGACCATCTGCCAGTGCAATTTCTCTGCTTGCTACAGGAAAGTTCTACTCAAACTACATACTCAGAGCCACCACTCCCTCAAATAAGAATGTGCAGCAGATTCAGAATGTGTGAAGTTAATAAACCAGTTAAGGAAGACCTGAGATAAACAACTGATAGTTGTGGATGAGCATGGTGATAGTAGGTAGACTGAACAGGTCCAGAAGTAACAAGATAATACAATGCACAGGAGAAAATCTCAAGAGCCTGAGAACAAAGCTCCCCGCCCAGAGAAACCTCTTTCCATTAGTTAGAAGTGTGTTTTCAGAACAGTGCTTTTGTACTTCCACTGTGTTTACATAGGTAGGACCTCCATTTTTAGGGTATTTCTGTTTCATATTTGGACCTAGATTCTTAAAGGTGTATGGGTGCCTAATCCATTGGGAGTTAAGTGCCTAAATACCTTTGAGGCTCTGAACTTTGACCACTATACATCTTCTGTTCCCCTCCTGGTGAGCTAAATGTACCTTCACATGCTAAGAAGCCTTTTCAAGTTTAATTTGGGTCTATTGTTTAGTCGAAACAATAATTAAGAATAAAATTGTTAGGCACGTAGAAGAACATAATTTGTTGGGCAAAAGTCAACATGGTTTCTGTAAAGGGAAATCATGTCTTACTAATCTATTAGAGTTCTTTGAAGGGGTTTACAAACATGAGGACAAGGGGGATCCAGTAGATATAGTATACTTAGATTTTCAGAAAGCCTTTGACAAAGTCCATCACCAAAGGCTCTTGTGTAAATTACATTGTCATGGGATAAGAGGGAAGGTCCTTTCATGGATTGAGAACTGGTTAAAAGACAGGAAACACAAGGCAGAAATAAATGATAAATTTTCAGAATGGAGAGGGGTAACTAGTGGTGTCCCTTAAGGGTCAGTCCTAGGACCAATCCTGTTCAATTTATTCATAAATAATCTAGAGAAAGGGGCAAGCAGTGAAGTAGTAAAGTTTGTGGATGATACTAAACTGTTCAAGATAGCCAAGACAGAAGCAGACTGTGAAGAACTTAAAAAAGATCTCACAAAACTAAGTGATTGGGCAACAAAATGGCAAATGAAATTTAATGTGGATAAGTGTAAAATAATGCATGTAGGAAAAAAAATCCCCAACTATACATATAGTATGATGGGGGCTAATTTGGCTACGACAAATCAGGAAAGAGATCTTGGAGTTATCGTGGATAGTTCTCTGAAAACGTCCACACACTGTGCTGCAGCAGTCAAAAAGGCAAATAGAATGTTAGAAATTATTAAGAAAGGGATAGAAAATAAGACACAGAATATCTTACTACTCCTGTATAAAACTATGGTACGCCCACATCTTGAGTACTGTGTGGTCTCCTCACCCCAAAAAAGGTATTTTGGCCTTGGAAAGGGTTCAGAAAAGGGCAGCTAAAATGATTAGGGGGTTTGGAACAGGTCCCATATGAAGAGACGCTAAAGCGACTAGGACTTTTCTGTTTGGAAAAGAGGAAACTGAGGGGGGATATGATAGAAAAATAACATATAAAATCATGAGTGGTGTGGAGAGGGTGAATAAATAAAAATTATTCATTAGTTCCCATAATACAAGGACTAGAGGACACAAAATGACATTAATGGGTAGCAGGTTTAAAACTAATAAGCGAAAGTTCTTCTTCACACAGCACATAGTCAACCTGTGGAACTTCTTGCCAGAGGAGACTGTGAAGGCTAGAACTACAGTAAAACTCTAATAGTCCGGCATCCAATAGTCCGGCACTCCTGATAGTCCGACATCAAAATGGCAAGAGCCTAGTGAGTGAGCTTCTGCAAAAAATGAGTCACAAGGTAACAGCGGCAGCAGCTGAACTGAGCAAAAAGGGTAAAAAAAGGCTGAAAAAAATAAAACATTACAGTATACTGTATACAGTATGTACAATAAAAAGGGTTAAGAACACTTTATATACAGTATATAATGTATACAGTATATATATAAAACCATCTTATAGTACCTCCTGATAGTCCGGCATATCTGATAATCCAGCACCACCTAGGTCCCATAGGTTCTGGATTATCGGAAGTCTACTGTATAACAGAGTTTAAAGAGAAACTAGATAAATTCATGGAGGTTAGGCCAATAAAAGGCTATTAGTCAGGGGGTAGGAATGGTATCCCTGGCCTCTGTTTGTCAGAGGCTCGAGATGGATGGCACAAGACAAATCACTTGGTCATTGTCTTCAGTCCACCTCCTCCGGGGTACTTGGCGTTGGCCACTGTTGGCAGACAGGCTAGTGGGCTAGATGGACCTTTGGTCTTACCCACTAAGGACACTCTTATGTACCCTTGATCTACTACTGCATACTGTGCTGTACATATTTTCACTATAGCATCTGACTGTTTAGACCCCTTTTAAATATTTAAATGAGATCAGTATAAACAATAAATGATTACCTCATGGAAATGACATCCACACTTCCCTTGCAGAAATTCTTTGTAACGTCCCATTGTAATGATGAAAGTATCAACCACTTCATAGCCATACTTTTTTGCAGTCTCCAGAATAACTACATTTTCATTCCATAAATTTTGCACTTCAGCCTACAAAAAATATCATTGTTTATCAGTAGTATTCTGATTTCAATGATAGCAGGATCTGATCCTAAAGTAATGGCCACACTTTATTTTCCATGGCAGCTTATAACAACAGAGTAAAAACTGTATCCATCTGGTACTGTGAATGCCATTGACCTTATTTAGAATAACCATCTGACATGATTAATACATAATTAAAGGGGCAGGTTCTGTAGCACATTCCAATGGCCTTGCAGTATTCTGATGATGCAAAGCAGCCTACGCTGTATTGGCTGCTCAAGCAGGACTCATGCAGAGTAGTCAATGGGATACCTGCCACAATAGTCGCCCCTCTCAGTAGAAAGGGAGACTGAGGAGACCTAAAAGCCAGACCTGCTCCTAGCCACTTTTGGGTGCAGTGCAGTCTGCAGCGCCGGGATAGGTAAGTAGCTTGCCTTAGCACCCCTGTTGATCACCCTGCAGCAAGGAGACCCAGTACTGGGTCGTGACTAGTTTGAAAACTATTGTTTTAGAGAGACAGCAAAATCACCAGGTAGACAATAAGCATCGCATGGTAATGCAGTCAAAATCTGACCCACCTGCGATAAAGAATGTATTCCATCCACTGGCAGATGAAAGCCCATTCCTATGGATTTTATTACTACCAGGATATTTGATAGGTTTTCCCTGTTTGAGTGAAATGAAGCACAAGCATTTTATTTACAGATCTATGAAAAGACATTACACAATTATTTTTTAAGATCAGATTTAAATGAACAATGATGAAAAAACCATGAAATGTTTGTATCTGAAACTGGTTAAGTTTGGTGGCTGTAATTTTTCATCATATTAATGTTTTATATGGGATAATAGAAATATATAGCACTAAACTTTACCTCTTCAGCACTGTTTGAATAATTTGCAGGTGATTGGAATTAAGCCACTGAACACCACCCACAACTAATACAGTCTGGTCTGTGTTCTCAAGGGGATGTGATCTGAAATCCAGAAAGAAAACACATGCAGCCTTACAACAGATGGAAAACATTTTAACAGCATCACATTACATTGCAATGAACTGTATATGGCACCCTGATTGAACGTGTGATGTCATTTAGTCTCAACCACACAATATGGCCTGTACACCTCGTGCTTAATTCTTTACTGATTTTAATGGAGCAAGTCTGTTAAACACATTTGTGAATGGAAGAGGAATACAAACAACCCAGCAATATAAGTTATATTGTACCTCTGTAACAGCTGTTCTAGTGCTTTTTCGAATGTTGGCCTCTTCTTTACATTGATCCAAAATTGTGGGTAGTAGGAGTAACTGATAAATGTTTTCCCATGATTTATGTTACGATAAAATTTAACATCATGAGTCTTTTGCCATTCCTGAAGGGTCTCATTCACTCTTTCTATCAGATAATACATTATCCCTCTATTAGTTGAATCTCCAATGAAAAGAACCTTTAAATGTAAAAAGAAAAAAAGGATACCGTACATTAGACAGGTTAAGAATCACTAATCTTGATAGAACATTATATGCAATAAACTACATTTTAACCTCTTTCAGGCTATGGAATACCACCCCTCAGCCTCCTACTTCCAATACAACTACTTTTCTCCATCAAAATCTATTGATTATTATTAAGTAAAAAGTAATGTTAGCATAGTATTATGGACACGGTAAGCTTGGCTTACTGTGACAGCTGTAGCTTCTTGGATACATCCCTGCATTTTTCATCCTGCCTGCTTGTTTCTTCTCCCTAGATGTAGAACTTTACATTTATAAATCCCTCTGTGATTTGCAGCTTCATGCTGTAGTCATTTTTCAGATCTTCTCCCTTCCCCCATGCTCTGTGTTTCATACCCGTTTTGGTGTCATCCTTAAATCTGATCACACTTGAATTTACACCAAAGAAAAACCCAGTGAAGAAATAAAATAGGGGCATTAGCTCTAAAGGGATTTTTTTGAATGTTTGGAGGGAGGGTTTTGAGCCAAAAAGGAAGGTTAAAAAAGCTTCTGAAAACTCAAAGTATCTTGGAGTATGACACAACAAGCAGGAAGCATCATTATTTAATGATAGAGAGGCTTCACATTGACAGAGAAGCCATTTCAAGGATCAGTGGTGTCCTCTGCAGAGATTGGCATTAGGACTTTTTATGTGACTAATGGTCTCCCCTATACTTATTTTGCAGCATCAACCTACAGAGCGCTTGAGCTCCTTTATATACGGAGGCTATTGGGTTTGTGTGTGTGTTTATATTAATCTCATCCATCCCTAGTGAATCATCTCACTAGGGCAGCTGGGCACCAACCCTTTGCTGTGATTGTATGGTCCCCTCCCAAATAAAAGAGAATGCAAGGCAGAATGTTATGCCAAAGAACACAAAGAAAAGGGAAAATTAGTTTAAGGAAAATAAGTTTATGCCATTAGAAATGCACCTGTCACTTGTTACTGTGTCACAGTGAGCATGGTTAGAAACACACACACATCAGCAGTAGTGTAAATGCAGGAATCAGATAGCCTCAATCACAATGGCATACTAAGCATGTCTTTCCACCTCTGCTCTGCAGTGTGCCTCCCGCTGCATTGCCACTGAATCTGGATCCTTTGTGTAGGTACCTGGCACCCAGCAGTAGTTACTGATGCTTCATTCCATCTCCCATATACAGTTGGAAGTGCAGTGACTGTTCAGACCACTCAAGGCAGCTCTAGCTTGAGCATCTGTTCTCATAGGAGAACTCTGACAAACTGTGGGAATTAATGGTAATGATGCTCCTTGTCTTAGTGGAAATTAATGTCAGATTTCGAATAACTCCTCTCACCTTGCACATGACTACCCCCTTGTTCTTAGCCTTCTGCAAGAGACAACAGCTCCCACTATGTTTGAACAGTGAAAAGGAGCAGTGATGGCCAATGGATCCTGAAATCCCCTGCTATTAAAACAGCTGAGGGTGAAGGTATGTGGTGCTAAGATGACCCTGCCTGTCCCTCAGCCCCTGATGTAGGAGCATGCTGTAGGCAGGGACTGGGCCAGAAGGAGATCCAAGCTATTGACTGGAACATTCTGTGTGTCAGTGATGCTGGGCTACAGAGCAGCCCAAAAGCAGCTGCATAAGGGTTCCATACATTAAAAGCTACCTTTGTCATTCACTCCCCTGTGTTTGTCAGCAGTGCAGTGCAGAATATGTATAGTATAGCTGCTATCTGTCAGGAGTCTATCCACTCATTGCAGCACACAGATTACACAGGCATTTATTTCATGTGAAGGGGATTGCAAGTGTTGTCCATCATAGCTCCTGACATACTTCTTCAATCCACAACACATTACCCACCCACTCTCTTATTTCTCTTTAATCTGTTGCTCTCCGGTCTCTTGTGTCCATCACTGTAATATCCAGCTATAGGACATTGAATTTGAAACTTTTTTTCTGGGTGATAACAAAAAGCAAGGAAAGACCATTAAAACAGCAGGAAGAGTGTCAAATTTTCTATTAAAACAAAGATATTAGGTTCTTATTTGTATGATTAGAAATAGGCCCTAACTGGCACTGGGCATTGGTAGCCCAGAGGTCAAATGGTTTCTATCTTACCCATTAATACTATAAAACCATTGTGAGGACCAATGAGTTTTCCTCTCATTGACAGGAACTGCCCCTTCCCTAACCGTAGCCTAATACACCCGTCAAGCCATTTCTCTGATTTGCCAGATGTGGAGTTTTTATTTCATTTCTAATTCTATTACGATTGTGAGCAGCTTCTTATCTCCTTGTAACAGTGTTGTGCCATTCCCACCTACTGATGGCTTGAAATAACAGAACAAGACACTCAGTGGAAAAAACAGAGTGAAAATATAGTCAAATCCCACAGTTTTACTGACACTGCAGGGCTTGCATCGCTGACTAGAGTTTGTTACTCTAAAGATGTTCAGAGTTCAGTATCTCAGCCACTGCAGACTGAAATGTGACCATTTCCTTTGCAAGTGTCATTTGTGCTAACAAAAGAAAAAGAAATTTAACTGGTTAAACATTTCATAGTCTTAGAGCTTTAAAAAGTGTTATCCCCTCTCCCACCCTTCTAAGCAGCAGAGCTGAAGCTGAGCCTTGAAGAAATCTCCACTGAGCTCCAGAATTGAAAGTGCTTGAGACAAAGCATTAGAGATGCTCACAGCTCTGGAAAAGCTGCCTTTGAGTGGGCAGATACCAGGAACAGTCTTCTGAAAAAAACAGTATTGAGAGGCCGCCAGAAAAGACCATTCTTGATTCTATGATTCTCAGGGGGGCAATAAATCAGCTATGCCATTTGAATCCATTACCTCTTGTCCTGCCCTCTGTGGCAAGAGAGAACAGCTTTTCTCCATCCTTTTTTATGGCAGCCTTTCAAGTAACTGAAGACAGCTATCAATATGCCCCCTTAATCTTCTCTTTTCCAAACTAAACATACCCAGATCCTTCAGCCTTTGCTCATATGGTATGCATCCTTCCCTTTGATCATCTTTTTTGCTCACCTCTGGATGTTTCCCAACATTCTTTCTATACATTGGTGACCAAAGCTGGACACAGTACTCCAGATGAGTAGAGAAGTACCTACCATCGTCATTTTCGCGATTGGGGCTTTTTTGTGGAAAAGACTACTGTACTGTCTACACTGGCCCTTTTCTGGAACAGTTTTTCCGGAAAAGGACTTTTGCCTGAATGGGAGCAGCATAGTTTTTCCGGAAAAACACTGACAATTTTACAGTAGATCGTCATTGCTTTTCCGGAAAAGCAAGAGGCCAGTGTAGACAGCTGGCAAGTTATTCCGGAAAAGCGGCTGCTTTTCCAGAATAAATGGCCCAGTGTAGACACAGCCTAAGTGTAGCAACTTACATTTGTCTTTGTTGAATTTCATTTTGTTGTCAATAGCCCAGTTCAATTTATTAAGAACCCTCTGAATTTTAGTTCTTTCCTCCAAAGCATTAGCAACTTGACACCTCGCTTTGTGTCATCAGCAAACTTGACCAGTATGTGCTCTCTCTTCCTATATCAAGTTAATTAATAAAGATGTAAAAACACGGGAGCCAAAAGAGATCTCTGTGGAACCTCACTTGAGACTTTGCTCCAATCTGGCATCCTTACATTGATAGTTACTCTTTGTTTGGTTATTTAACCAATTATGTATCCATTTAATGGTAGTTCTGTTGAGCCGGAGTTTCTCCAGCTTAGCTATGAGAACAGCACATGGGACTGTGTTGAAAGCCTTGCTGAAGTCCAGGTATATTATTTCCGCTGTATTCCCAGTCCACCAAATCAGTTACCCTGTCAAAGAAGGAAACTCATGCTGGTTGCTAGAAATGACCTCTTCATCCTCCAGGTATTAGCAAGCGGAATGTTTTATAATTGCTCTAGTAGCTTATCAGGAATAGAAGTCAGGCTGAATGGTTGGCAGTTTCTGTTCTCCTCGTTTGCCCCCTTTTAAGTTAGGCATTACACTAGCCCTTCTCCAGACTCATGAGACCTCTCCTCTGATCCGTAAGTTTGTAATTTTTGTTGCCAGTGGCTCCAAGATTTCTTCAGCTAATTCTGTCAGTATCCTCACTGACCACTCTGCTAATATGAATTCATTTACATTGGTCAGAAGATCTCTGATGTCTTCTTTACTTACCCCAATCTGCACCCTTTCCCCTTTATGATAACTTTGCTAGTCATCTGGTCACATGTTATTTTTTAACGCAGATTGAAACAAAGTAGGCACTGACCAGGTCTGCCTTCCTCTCATCTTCTATTACCAGATCATTTTCTCCATTGAGCAGCAATCCCACATTATCCTTGATTTTTCCTTTTTGTCTGACATATTTGAAGAACCCCTTCCTATTAGCATTTCTTGCCAGCTGCAAGTTACTCTTTGCCTTGGCTTTCCTGATTTTGCCCCTCCATGCTCTTGCTATTCCTGTATATGCTTCCTTGGTGACATGTCTCTCCTTCCATTTCCTGTATGTACTCCTTTTGGTTTTTAGATAGATAAAAGGCTCCTTGTGCAGCCACATTTGTCCTCTGTGATTCCTCTTATCTTTCTATGGGTGTGTCTAGTCTACAGGGTTTTGTCGCCAAAACTATACCTGCGTCAAAACTATACATAACGTCAACAGAACTCGGCAGTTTTGTCGACGGCTGTAAACCTCATTCTATGAGGGATAATACCTTTTGTCAACAGAGTTCTGTCGACAGAAGGCGTTATTGCATATACACTGTCCTTTGCGTCTACACTCTCATGTCGACAAAGCAGCTTGCTTTGTTGACAGAACTGGATGTAGTCTAGATACTCTTTGTCGACAGAAGCTTTGTCGACAGTATCTGTCAACAAAGCCTCTGTCGACAAAATCCTGTAGTCTAGACATACCCAATATGTCGGTATAAGTTGACGCTGAGTCTCTAGTGCTACATCTTTTAAGAACTGCCAATTCCTGTTCTTCCTATCTGGTCT